GGCAGCAACATGGATCAGGATTTGAGGGTGTTGAAGTTTCGCGCCGCATCGCGGTTGTCATCTGGAACAAGCGCGAGGGGGCGGGCTGCCACGTTGGTTCCCTCCCGCTAAAAACCAGCCCCCTGTTGGGGGTTTTCAGCTGGTGGGTCGCGGGGAATTAGAACCGCCGTGATTGGCGGCGACAGCAATGAGGCCGCAGGCTTCCACATGGCCCCGCTTCAGCTCGAGAATCCGGGGAATTGGCTCCCAACGCACAACCCAAACGGTTCGCAGCCAGCATCAGTCAACTTGGGGGTGGCTTTCCCCTTTGCATTTGCCTCGGGGCGAATGCCATCCCTGAAGCGTGACCGAGACGCGGTTTCGGATCCGAAGTGAAATCATCGTCGGCGCACACCTGCTGCACTGGGAAAGTTGGCGGGTTCTGAGGAGCCCCAATCCAGCCCTGTGGGTCACCCGGGAGGAACCGCTGGCCTGCGCCCACGAACGGGAAATGGACAGCGATCGTCCAAGCACCAATACCAAGCCTACGATTGACGCGATGCGGTCCGTCGTATCACTGTTTGCGGCTTCAATTGGAGCTGCTCCTTAGTTGAACAGCGCTCACTTAGGCTTCTCATCACGTCGGTTTCGCCCCTCGAACGGGGTGAGTCAGTCCAAATTCCGCAGCCAATTCGCGCAGGAATTCGCGCATCGGCTTTGGAGCAAGCACTCTCGCTCATGATCTTCAGCTTTGTCAATAACGTCTCATCCAGCAACCACCCCGGCCCGATGAAGAAAGTTGGTAATTTTGATGCCTTGCGGCCCTTCCCGGGGTTGGCGGTGAGCTTCTGGTGGGTGGCAGGCAGCTCGTAACGGGCTTGGCACAAACGTCGGGTTAGGTCACCCCTGCAGCCTTACAGTCCTTCCTATCCGCCGCAACGGTCATGGCCAGCTAAAATCTCACACCTTCTCCAGACGGCCGCTTCCACATTATCAGGCGACCGTTTTGTTGCCGGCTGCTGCACGATGGCGCATCTGACGTTTTTTTCCCGATAGGGTAGGGCGCAACGTCGGAGGCAGCTCGACAAGCGAAAAAGCACCGTCGGCCGTATAATTTGCCCTGGGCATCAGGGGCTCTGATTGGCCGCCCCAACGACATTCGAGCCAGTTCGGGCCTTGATAATCAGTTACAGTCCTAAGCTCCTAAAATACAACCTTTATGTCAGCAAAGCACAACTTGTCTTCAAGAACGCCACACACTCGAATGGGGGACAGGGCGTATTACTCGACATGTTTCTTGAATCTATATGCAAGAAATTCCGACTCTTACAGCAAATCACACACCGCATCCCCGCTCCTGTCCCAGCCCCAGGGGCTGCTGCACGTTATTTGCCTCCCCACCTTCCCACCTCGTCCGAGATGTCGACGGGTTGACGGGATCGTCCTCATCAGTCTCCCCGGGCCCGCTCTTTGGTCACTCTCCACATCGGTTGATATCCCGCGTGAGCGTTTCCATGACATGCCTGCAGGTCTTAGACACTACACTACTCTCGGCAGGGCAGGCTCACCTCTTTGGGGCAGAGCCAAAATCCTTCGGCATGGTCGAGCGTCCCCATCTTGCTCGTGCAACCTACATCCAGGACGTAGCGGTACCCGTGGCGCCTCTCCTCCACCTCAAAATTCCGGGTACCCCATTCCCCAATCTCAGTCATCCCGTTCCATCATCCAGTTTTACGACGTCACCATCAAGAAGTTGCTATTACTTTTGTTCTATACCTGTCCCCGCAGCACGGTCTGACGCATCCCTAGCCCTATGGTTCCTGGTTCCCCATTGGATGTGAGTTGACCCTGCTTCAGCTTCCATTGCCAGGTTGAGCCGCACGGTATCACATCTTGACTTCGGACGTCGATGCCTAAACGGCTGGAATTTGTTGAGAGGCATCGACAATATAAACTCCCAGCTTCCCGTCCAGGCCACACTCGTCATCCTCACTCAGCACCTCAAGTCCCGACAACTACCGAGCAAGGATAATCTCACATCAGTTTTCTGAATCAGTATCATCTCTACTACTACATCTACTTGTAGGGATTACTTCTTGTTGCCACAGCCATGTCTTCGTCTCGTTCTACCCGTCCTCACCACAGCTCCCGCCTCGGGAGCGGCAGCGGCAAGAAGTCAAAGGCCTCTCAGGTGTGTCATCCTCATCCACCCACTCCGCGCATCCACCTCGTCCCTGGGAAACGCCGGCATTCCCTCCAGGGCATCATATTGCCACCATCCCGTACTCCCTTCTTCAAAAGTCCATGACAGCACTATCGGACCTGAAACATGCACCATTCCGTGCATCTTTCCCTCAACGCCACACTCCATCCGGCTGCAGCTCCCATAGTCACTTTGACTGCCCCCCACTAACACACACCAGTCCACCCGCCAACTCATCGAATCCCTCCAAACCCACCGCGTCAACACCCTCACCGAGCTCTGCCGTATCGAGCGCATCGCCGCCTCCTGCGACTCCGAAGATGATGCGCGCGCCTTCCAAGGCCCCATGACGGCCGCATGGGCATACTACGTCAGCTCAAACCAGATGCTGTCTGAACTCCGCGGTCTCACCCCAAACTACCCCTTTTGCGGTGATATCCTCAGCCACGCTCAGGGACTGGTGAGGAACGACCCAGAGAGCAACCGCAGCTGGAACCTGGCTTGGCTTTGCTTGGTGAAGATTACCGATGAGTAAGTGTCTGTTTGAGGGTGGAAACTTATCCAAAAATCAAAAGGGGCCAGTGCTAATTATTGTCATAGTGACTTGATCTCGTCGTTTGCTGGGTCCGAAGCCAGTCGCCCGGAGATGTGGGGCGGTCGGCAGCCCAGCGCCGAGGAGGCCCAACAGCTGGCTGCGTGCTTTCAGTACGAGTGGGAGATGGCTGTGCAGAACATGCTGCGGCACTGGCAGGCTACTCCCACTTGGTACTGACCATTTTGCTTTCAATTCCTTACAAGTCCTGGTTCCTTGGTCGTGGATTTGACAGCTTTGTGATGGAGTTTTGGTATCATGGCGTGAAGTGATGATGGACTAGACGGATTGGCGATCAACTCGCATCCCCACTCACAGATGATCTCTTTGGTTGGAATTTCTTTGTGGTTTCTCTTTGCTCTTTCATTGGGGGGAACTTCGAGGCGCACAGATGTGGGAGTTGTTGGGTCGCATCACGCATGGAGCTGGGGTTGGTTCATGGAAGGCTGTTGGGTCATTCGTTTAAGCATATCATTTTCCCAAATCGAGTTTACATTGCTACTCATCAGATGGACAACGCAACCTCGGACTATTCGGACTCGAGCGGTTGACGGGCCGACAAGGTCGCTCTCAACCTCCCCGGGTTTCAGATGTCCAGGGCCTGAAAACCTTCTGCCGCCCCTGCCAAGCACCGACTGTTCTGTGCCAAGCAGTCACATCGACTTTCGCGAATTAACAGGTCCGCTTGTTTCACAACACTTCGAAAATCCGGGTGTTGTCGACAGGCCGCATTGATGCCGCCCGGATCTCAAACGCGCCACTGCAGCCCAGAAGTCGGCCCTTCGGCTGCTGCGCCGCATCTGGGCACCCCCCAGGTAGACCAACAGCATCTTAATAGGAAATGGCATTCGCCCCGCGAATCCTTCGACCATTGCCCCCTTTCTCCCACTTCCTACCACGCTAAGACGTGCGATCGCATGAAGCGGGGACGTTGCACGTCCATTTCGCCCGTCTGATCCCTCAATAACGCCGGGCGAAACGAAGTCATCACCAATGGCGATACCACGCGTCTTGGCGCGGTGTCTCGTCGCCACCGCGCTACTCATCGCCAGTGGCACAGCACAGGCGACCACCACGCTCTCCTCTGCGGCCCCGGCCGGGACTAACGGTGTGGTGTTCATCTACCCGACCAAGGACCAAATCTACAACTTTATGGACACGGTTAACGTGACGTACACGAGTCCATTTCCCACGCCAAACCTCTTTACCTTTTGCAACGGCGGCAAGGAGCAAAGTAAGCCTCCCCCTTCACCATTCAAACATGATCAATTAACCCATTCTGACCACCCCCCCAGAATCAATGCAACGCGCCGTCGGCTACAACGGCACAATCCCCTACATCCTCAACTTCACCTCGGCCACACCCTGCTGGTTCAACCTCCGACCCGGAACCGCCGCCGGATTCGGCGCCAACTCGGAGGTATTCACCATCATTGGCCAAGAGCGCGGATCGGGGAGTAGAGTTTTCGGACCGGAGAATACACCTACGATATCACCCCCGCCGTTTACGACGTCCCCTGGGGGTTCATTGCCTGGGAGTAATCAAAATGAGGACGGGAGGTCAACAGGGAGGGGATCAACGGAGACGATTGGTTCGGTGAATACGAGCACCGCAGACCCGGCACTTGCAACGGGAGGGAGGACATCGATAAGCACCGCAGCCTCAGCAGGAATAGGAATAGGCGTAGGAGTCGGTGTTCTCGCCCTCGGATTGGGAGGGTTCGCGTGGTGGTGGAAGCGGAGAGGGAAGAATCGAGCGATGCAAGGGAGTCCGAGTGGATCAGATGGGACGATGTCCACGCTGGGGGAGAAGTATTATTCGCCGACGATGGGGCAGACGCCTGTAGTGTATTCAGAGATGGGGAGCGGGCATGGGCCGTTGGAGATCGGGTCGTCGGGGCGGCCGGGGAAGTATGAGATGGCGGGGTAGGCTCAAATCTCGAAACAAGTTATGGGATTGTTGATAGGTAGTACGAACAAAAGAATCGACTCCAGACAGGCCGGGGCATGGGACGTAGGGGTTGTCCGAGTTTGAAGCTTCCTCTTTCTGGCTTCGCTCTTGTGCTCCGCTTCTTTACTGCGGACCAAAAGGCAGCTCCCACAGCGAGATCGAAATTCGCAGTAATCAGTGGCCTTAATTGAGAAGGGAGTCTCAAGTTGGTCGAAGCGTCTAGGGGTGTGTGAACCCTAACCCTAGCTCTGAAAGGGAGCTCGGGCAAAAAGCAACGCCCACGGCGAGATTCGAACTCGCAACATTCAGATTTCTTCACAGGATGAAGATAAAAGTCTGACGCGCTAACCATTGCGCCACGCGGGCTCCGGAATTGTTTAGGATGTTTTGGAAGTCCGGAAAAGCGATATATCTTTGCAGGAGAGTTTGGGCTGGAAAGACGGCGAGCGCAGGCGTTGAGGAAGGCGTGCGGTCGGGCCCACTGTGCTCCCAGGACCGGGACACGGCCATATTGGGAAGGAACGACTAAGCACAACACCAGCAACCTCCTCTCGTTATCTTTGCGTCTTCATTTTTTGATCAATTGAATGTGAGTTTTCGCTCCTTCCCATCCGGCACAACTTTGCACATTGCAGCGCCTAGGACGATTTGATGGGCGCTAGATTGCAGGGGCAAGACCCTGCGATAACTAACATTCATGCTAGCCACTTCGCGCTGCATTGCCACGCTGGCTAGCAATTCGACAGATACTAGATCAACTTTTCACTCCAGCTGGGATGCCTTTTCGTATCTACGTCCAATCAAGAAATCGTCTTTTTCGGACCGATCAATCCAAAGTCTAGAACTCCGCGATTAGCGTCGCGCTGCACCTTCCGATTGAGCTAGGCCTCGGAGGGCTGAAGATCCCAGCTGCGGCTGATGCACTGGTTCGGAATTAGCCCTGATCGGAAAGGCTAGTCTTGGCCTCGATGGCATTATCTGGAATATAAGTTGAGCGTTGCCTCCATCTGACAGTTGCTTGATGCTGATCTCAACACAGATTCGAACATCTCCGCCTTCTTTCGCTCGCTTGACAAAATGGCAACAGCAACTCAGCACATCCCCGGCCAAGGCCACCCCGCTGCGTCCGACCCCTTCGCCCACATCCGACACTTCCCCATGTTTCCCCTCCTCGCAGCCGAGGACCAAGCCGCCGTGGCCAGAACCCAGGCCGATGCTGCCCAATTGGGCAGCTTTGTGCAGCCCGCCCCAAACCTGAACATGGCAGAAAAGGCCGTCCTCCACGCGTCGGGGATGGAGATCATGAACGTGCGCAAGATGGAAAACACGGCCCTTAAAACGACAGCAGGGCTCACTGCGCTGAACGCGTCGAATGTCCACACGGCCGTGTCGACCAGATGGGGCGCCGTCGTGGATGGGAGGACCGTGGTTGTGGATATATACGAGACAAGAGTCCCGTATAGTAATCCTTGGTGTGAGTTTAATCTCGAATGATAAGGGAAGCATGCTGACGATCGTAGTGCTCAAGTCGAATTCCGACGTGCAACTGAACGTTGCTAGGAAGAGAGAGATCAAGGCGAAGGCGCAGAAGACGGCGAGCAAGACGTGGACCAAGACGCCGGTGGAAAGCATCATGCTGCTAGCAGGAGATCGCAATGTCGAGATGACTATCGTTCAGAGAGAACAGAGGGGGATCTCGCCGGCGGAGGCGCCCACAGTGCAGAAAAGGTTCAAGAACTGGACGGTCCCGGGGAATTGACGCACCATTTTGGGTAGCAGTGTTGATATCGGCCTTGGTAAATACAGGATTCGTTTATGGTGCCTCGACTCGTCCTCCCACGCTCGGCAACTCGTAGCGGTTGGTGTAGGAATAGGCCTCATACACTGGCCTCGCAGGTACCACGTGCACCTTCTGGTCACCCTTCTCATACAGTGGGGAGGCCACCCCCGAATCCACCGGGATCGGAGCGCGTTGCCCTTCGGCCGCATCATGGTTCCCGTTCGCGTTCACCTTGGCCTTTGCCGCTCTTTTCCTCCGCCAAGCCTACAACGCCAACGCAACCAACGCCAACGCCAGCGCCGCCGCCCTCGCCCCTATCCCCGCAGCCGCCGCCGTACTTAGCCCTCCCCTACCAACCCACCTACTACACCCTCCGACTTCCCCGTCTCCACCGATCCATCCACTCCCGTCCTAATCCCCTCACTCCCACCCCCCCCGTCTCCTTCCCGGTACCCGGACTCGGACCGACCTTGCCTCCTCCCTAAAATCCCCCTTTTGAAACCGAACCTCAACCCCATGCGCCCCAATCCCCGCGTCGCCCCTAACCGTACTCGTCATCTTCATCCTTCCCTCTAAATCCACAAACGTAACCCCCCCCCCCCCGTCTTGCCCTCCCCATACAACCAAACATCACACCCGAGCATACTCATCCAGCCGAACGGCGCGTCGGTGATACAACTAAAGGTATACCCCTGGACGGTGGGACAGCATGTATACCTATGCCGTCTCGGTGAGGGGGGCGTTGCGCGATGTGCAGCCGGGTGTGTAGCCGGAGGGACATAGACCGGAGGAGTAGTAGTTTCCTGTGGTGGAGTTGTAGGACGGGGGGAAGCAGTCGAAGAGGGGAGGGGCTTGGAGGGGCCGACGGCCTTCGACGGGGTGTGAAGGTTGTGGTTAGGGCCGATGAGGATCATTTTGTTATTGTTGGGGTTCGTGTCCGAGATGCATTGGTTGAAATGTTTATGGATGAACAGAAAGTGAGGTTGGAGGCTGGAAGGTTGGAGGTGGGTGGCCGTGGATTTTGGCGCCGGTCGCGTTCGGATGTTGGCGTTCAGGGGTGACGGCGCGGTCCGCCTGTCGAATTCGCATTCGCTTCGTAAGTACAACTTGTCTTTGGTGCCCAAGGTTTAATCAGAGTGCCTTTTCAACAGCCACAAGTCTGAAAGCTCATGAGCGCACAGCCGAGGGAGACGTCTTTATCAATGCCCAAATGCCATGTCGCAATCTCGATGGCATGGCGTCAGCTTCAGTAAGACGTGTTTGGGCGTTGGTCCGCTAAAGCCGGTCAAATTCAAGACCTGAATCTGCAGATAAAGAGGCGGCCAATCCGGGCCAACAGCTGGCCGAGTCGACCATAGCCTTTGCCGCTTACGGTCTTTTTGCCTGGTCACCCCTTGACCTTCACTGGACGGTAGGCCCTACCATTCAAGTTCAGCGGCGATCTTTCGAATCCTGCGGGCGCGATGGCAACAAGCCACCCGTGTTTCTGCACCTGGGCGTCTGAAGACTAACGATTCCAGGGCGACCAGCATCAGTTTCAACAAAGGTATTGTGGGTTGACAAGGAGTTGTTTAAAACAAGACAGAAAGATAAACATATCGCCTGGGTATCATGACTTCTTACATTGAATGCATCCTCTCTCTCTCTCAATCTTACAAATCAGCGGGCACTTGACCGACGTAGTTCCACTGTAGTGGACTGAGGCTGAAAAACTCCCACTGGTGAATATTTCCATCCACAATCCCGTACACCCGTCGTTGAGGGTTCCCTGCAACGGCTGAGAACTTTGGACTTGGTGGTGCTTTCTCAGCCGTCAACAGATTCGGTGTCGAAACGGAGCTCCATCTCCTCGTATCCCAAGTCCGCATCCCAATCCCTCCCTCCTCATCGGCCGTAACCACAGCCATGTTGACCAAATCGTACGAAAACGACGCCAAATTCGTAACCGCCGAAGTCGACACCGGTCCCAGCGAGTTCCCTGCACAAGTCAGCAACCACGTCCCCCATCATCATAGTCAAATAAAAACTCACCCCTCTCCCACCTCTCCACCAACCCCTGCGAATTCATCTCCCTCAACTCCCCGCCTTCCTCCCAAAACAAACTCCACCCCACATCCGTAATACTCTCATTCCTCATCACACTCGCCAGGCCAATCGCCCCTCCGCTCCTCATCGGCCCAATCTTGACCTCCATCGGATCCCACAAATCCGCCCTCAACAACCCCACCACGCCTCCCTCCCCCTGGTACGCAACCGCCATCCAGGGGAAGTTCTGTTGGCAGTCCCTACTCGTGCCGCAGTGCGGTCTCAGCGCTGCCAGCTTTGACCCAGGATTCGTCACGACGAGTCTATCCCCGCCTAACCGTCCCTGTCTCCAATTCGTTTTTAAGGTGGGATCCTCCGATGTCATCACCTCCCTTATCAAATTCCCCGTGGTTAGGAAATAAACACGAGTCTGGAACTGCGGGTTGGTATACGTAAAAGCGGCGATGGGTGTCGCGGGGAGGATGTCAAAGGTTACGCCGGAGGAGGAGGCGAGGATGGAGGAGATGGAGAGGGTTTCCCAAGTGTTGGTGGCCGAGGACCAGTGTGAGGTGAGGAGCTCTTTGGAGGGGGATTGGAAGAAGACGTATTGGTGGAGGGTGCCGACGGGGTCGGTGTAGTTTGTGGAGGCGAGGGAGGAGGAGGGGAAGATGTTGGTTGTGGTGTTTTTGTTGTCGCTGTCGCCAGAGGGGTTCGGTGTGGGGGAGGGTTGGTTTTGGGTCACTGGTAGTTGCTGGCTGCTGGATTTGCTGACTGTGACGCCGACGGCTACGGCCACGGCGATGAGGACGAGGGTGCATATTACAGCGAGGATGATAAAGGTGCGTCGTCGTAGACCGAGGATTTTGGGTTGGGGATTCGGTTGTGGTTCGGGCTCTGGCTCAGTTTTCGGTGTGGATGTCGCATAATGCTCGCAGTCGGAGTACCCAACAACCTGGAGATGATCGTATTTCGACCGCTCCGTGGGAACCACCTCGGGCAGGTTGTCGTCGTTGACGATGACGGCCTCGGGCAGATCCGAGAGCTCTCGCGGTTTCGACATCGCCTCATGTCGCAATTGACTCTCGGGTTCGCAGAATCGGACTCGACAAAAGAACAAGCCCTGTCTCGAGTCCGGGGATGGACGTTCCACTTAAGAGAAACCCAACTCTCGCATTCCGTACCGAGCGCACAGCCCGGCCCCCCCTGCATGCAACCAAAACCCGCATGAAAACCTGTTTTGGCTCGGCCTGTGCGACGGCAGGGCAGGCCATTGGCTACCATCCTTCCCGTAGAACCCCCGCAGAAACGGATCTGAGCCTGGATCGGCACCAGCCCTACTAGTCGTGGTGGTACTGCAATTTAACCGTGCCGATTTCCGGGCATAGATGGTGCTCTTGAGTGACACGAGAACTGAAAGGCATGGTGTGTGACGAGAAGCACAAAGGTCTTTGTTATTTCCAATCCCGACTGGTCACTGTAGTACCGTCAGTAATGTTTTCCGAAACATTCCATTCATCATTCTTAGCCAAGAAGGAAGGAAGAAGGAGGGTGGCTTGAAGGG